TTCTTGTTCTTTTTAACTTATTATGAATATTTTTACCTTTTCATAGCTCATATTATAGTAATTTTTTAATAAAATCAAAGAAATTGGTATTATAGACATCATAAAAATTTTTGATATATTTATAACAAATTTCATTAATACATTGTTACTTATATATGATTTTAAATTGAGTCTTCACCTAATAATGAAGAAAAATCTAATAAATTTATGATAAAAGAATTTTTTTTTCTTTTTTTAATTATTGCATTTTAGTGATAACAACACCAATTACTGATTGACAACATTATTGATCACATTAACCAAAATTAAAATAAAAGTAAAACACGAAAAATACCTCTGAAATTTTTTTTGATATTTCAAATTCAATCCTACAAACATTAATTAAAGTTTTGGACACCCATTAATTCATTTTGCTTAAAAAAATGCATTAATTAAGGTAATTCACCTGCTGCTAGAGTCTTTTTATTCTAACTATATTTTGGGCAGGCATTGGGATCTTGGTTTGTGAAGCTGCCAATCCATTTTTTCTTTTTCTTTTTTTGGCCCAGAAAACAGAAGATGCATATGTGAAAGGTGAAAACCAAATACGGCAACCAATTCAGAAACAAAATACAAACACAACTACAAAACAAAAAATGCTTGACAACATAGAAGGTGGTGCAGGCAGCCCATCCTTTTCAAGAATGCCAACCAGATTCAATGGGGGAACTCAAATCCAATTCAAAGGACATTAGTGCTTTCTGTGCTATGAACAGCTTCCCAATCCGAAGCCTTGTATGAGGATGCTGTTGGAATAAGTTCACATGGAATTGAGAGTTGTGCATAAGAATCCGTAACGAAAAGAAATAAGATGTTAAAGTGCAATATATAAATGTAGCCACATAATAGGCATGGTTTTTTGGTTCAATATGGCATCTCTCTCGTACTTGCGCTGGGAGATCTTCCTAATCTTCCTTTTCGAAGAAAGAATATTCTGAATATCCTTCATATTCTTCAAGTTCAGGTTCAAGATCAGGTTCAGTTCAAAGCAAATAGAGCCAACTAAATTTTTCATGTTCAAGTTCAAGTTTAGGTTCAGGTTCAGGTTCAGTTTGGAACAAAGAATATACACGAGAAATAAGCGCATGGCCGAACCGTGGCCTTTTTTTTTCTCGACAATTGGTTATAAATAAAATGTAAACCCAAAAGAGGTGGAAACACGCCACCGTTAACTCCTCAGTAATCTGTGACTTGGAAATTTGGTTTCTTTCTATGGTAATGGGCTGTGACTCCAACCAGAACCAATTCTTATCTAGTCAGAACCTAAAACCCAATAGCTGAAAACAGATGGCCACAATTATCCAAGTTTGAAATTTGAGTACAAAGAGATCGTAAGCAACCGATCCAATGACTCCAATTAGAAAACCGAACAACCCAAGGTCTGTGGAGAGTCGGATTATGACCAGTAGGATTAGAAACAAAACAGTATTGCTCAAGGCAAAACCCAGACTACCCAAGGATTTCTCATAAAATTTCTCTAAAACAATAGCTAAAATCAAGCAGATGCGATTTGCTATTGAATTTACCTTGGAGCCACAGGGTCTATGGATGAATTTAAGATGACGACTCAAACGCCTCGAACTCGAATTAGATACCAGAATGGCTATGATTTGGTAAGCCAACGCCCGTTTTGAATCCGGTGCGATCATGTTCTGCGCATAGCCTGGTTTTCCACACAAAAATTGTTGCAGTAAACAGAGCAATCTGGGCGTAGAGAATGGCTGATCGTGAACCATTCTTCGCGTCTACGCGGAGATGCTTCTTCAGAGCTTCTGATAGACTCATCGTCTTTCTGTAGGATGCAGCAAATAATTTTGCGAAGAAGAAATCACACAAGATAAAAATTAAATTGATATGATCAGAGAAGAAATGAGCTTTGGTGGAAGATTTTTTTGATCAATTTAACAGATAATACCTTAATATATATAGGAGGAAAGTAGAGGGAAACTTCACTGCACTCTCTTTCTGCAAAAGTGTTCTTACTCATTTGCGCCGTCCCTGGGAATCCTCGCTTTGGCGTCAACTAAATTTGAAATTCATCATTTAAATAAACAACGCAGCATTGCCTCTGGTCAATTA